AATAATGGGTGATAAATCCAGGGACACTGCAGGATCCCACTAAATAAAAAACCAGTGCATAGGGCCCCTGAATAGTTCTGTACAAGCCACAGAACATCTAAGTGCTCCAACTGGACACAAAAGATCTGGGTGTGATAGATTGTAAAGATGAGAAATTCCTGGGAAAGGAATTGGTAAAAAGAATATATTCCCTTCTCTGGCAGCGAGAGTGTTCAATAGGAATGATCTGTCTGGATAAAGCAAAAAAATAGGTGGAAGGATAGAGAGTCTGCTGAACAGGAATGGCAAATAAATCAGAACAGCTGCAGCTGGAAGCTAACAACAATAGAAATATACCTTGAGGGAAAGGTGATACAAAGAACAGGGAAGCATAGGTTTGAAGGGATAAAGTGATAACAAATGAAAAAACAACTTTAAAGTCCCAATTAAGCAACTGAAATGGTTGTTTGGGATGAAGAATATGAAAGGATCAGAAAACGAGATAGCACAGGAGTCAAAAACCTTCATATACATAGAAAAACAAAAGGGAGCAGTGAAGGATGTATATAATGCAAAGTAGAAGCCAAAGCTTTCAAAAATCCATGTCAAAAAACTAGAAACTATGGAGACTGGTGGATGAAGTGGGTTGAAGGCTCACCGAAGATACCACTGACAATACGTAGTCCATTTCCATCAATAGATTGCTATAGTAGGTTGATGTATGATCTAGTCAAATAAATGGAAACTAAAGAATTGAAACTCCTTATGGATGGGCAAAGGACTGCATAACTTCCAAGCATCAAGCTGGAGAGATTAAACGTCCAGGTGTTGAATGTTGAACTGAGGTTGTCTCAACAAGGATGAATGAAGAGGTAGTGGTAAACATTCCTGGAGCAACTGAAGAAGAAACCATGTCTGAGCAGGCCAAAAAGGTGCTGACAAGAAAACCCAACATGGGGTGAAATGACAAGAGTTGGGGTAAGAGATGAATAGGAGGAAAGGCATACAAATGAAATCCTGTCCAGTTTTGACTGAAATCATCTATCACAAGAGCTTGTGGATATGGAATAAGAGACCAGAATGGTAGGCTAGCATTTCAATGGGTTGCAAAGGTGTTGATCATTGGAGAGCCAAAATGAGAATAAATCCATTGAAAGACCACCTGATGAAACATCCATGCTGGTGAAGAATCTGATGGGATCGAGAAAGCTGATCTGCTATCAAAATAATAACCCCTGGCACATGACAGGCCAAAAGGATGTCATTGGAATGAGCCAAAAAAGAAGATCCAAAGCCCAAAAACCAAGAGCTCAAGAATGAGAACTTCCTGATGAGAAAGATATGAAACCACTGTGGAGTAGTCAGAATGAATCATGACCATTCTGTTGTACAAGAGAGGAAGACCTGGAATTATTAGTAGATATACTGGAAGAAGTTTGAGAATGTTGATATGTAGGGTAAATTCGTAGTCAGTCCAACTACCCTGGAATGCCTACCACAGAAGAAAGGCACCCCATTCATGAAGAGATGGATTTCCACATGAAGGAGTGGTATTCATACCCTGATATTTGTGTTGTTCCTGTCTAGCCACCACTTGAGATCTGCAAGTTGTTCGAGCAAAGAGACTGTGTGATCCAAAGGATCGGTATGCATGAGCCACTAGCCACTAAATGACCACTGAAGGGATCTCATATGGGCCTAATCCAATGGTATAAGGGATTCTAGGGAAACCCAAGTCCACAAAACAAAAATAATCATCTATGCAGTGGGAGAAGGAGACATAACCAAATGCCTGATAAACCCTTCCCTAGCATGAAGTGTGAGTGTAGAAGGTTGAGCTTGACTCAAAGTGCATTGAAAAACACCCCAAGATGGACCATATATAGAGTTAGTGAGAGAATGGATTTTTCCAACCTGATATGAAGTCCACCCTTCTGGTGTCAGAAAGAAGAATATGTTGATGTAGTGTGGCAACATTGCAGGTTTGTGCCAAAAGAAGTCAATCTTCCAAATTGTGATGTGTGCACAGACCCAGAAAATGAAGATGCTGCTCAAAGGCCCATACTACTTAGCAGAAAACATATGGTGCTGAAGCAAGTCCAAACAGGAGAGCTTGGAACTGCTACATCTGGTCCTCATGCAAAAAATGTAGAAACTGACAAAAATACTCTGCTATGGGGACGTGAAGATAGGTGTCTGCAACATCAAACTTGGTCATCCAAAGATCAGGTGTGAAGTGCCATTTAAGTTGAAGAAAAGATTCCATGGTGAAATGAGGAGGCTGTAGATAGAGTTGAGACAGATTGATGATAAGAAGCTAATCTCTAGTGTTCTTGGTCACCAGAAAAAGACAAGAATAGAATCCTGGATAAACGGGATCGATATTCTGAACATGCTGAACACTGCCTCAATCCTGACTTTCCGAAGATTCCCAAGAATATGGATAGAACCGATTCTGTAAACCAATAAGACTGGGTGTCTAAGATGGGGACCACAATATGCAAATGATCGATCCTCCAGAATTACCCGTTAGAGTAGAAGAGAGGCAAGCAGCCAATGACAATAAAGAAAACTGCAAAATACTGTATAAAATCGGGCTTCGAAAGTTTCAGGGACTCCAGCAAACTAGTAAGGCCGAAAATGGGTGACTCCTAGAAATCATGAAAAGGAGTATCACAATACAGTAGTAAGAGTAAAATGAATCCACAAAAATGGAGATCTGGTAAGACATATAACAGGTTCTAACCTAGAACCCCATAAATGTAACAACAAATCCAACTGTTGAGTGTCCAAATATACTACAGCCAGACGATAAGCCAAGACATGTTGTTCTGATAAGTAAGGGGAGCAAGACATAGCAATACTCTCTTGTAATTGCATTGCAAGCACCCCAGCATACATGGCAATATCAGAGGAAGGAGGAAGAACTAAGTAATCTCCCCAAGACCTATCTGACAACAAGGCAGGGTAGACTCAAAAGCAAGGGGGTGAATCCCCAAAGGCAGATGAGCCCACAGTACAGGCAGCTCTAGCGAAAGAAAGAGAAGAAAACAGTGTCTAAATTCTCCCCAGTATATTCATGATGAAAAGCCAACTCTGAAATGCCGGGGAAAACCCCAAACTGCATGAAGGACTCCAACACAACACAAATCAAGTCACAGACAGCCTCCACCGAGAGTGGACCCCCCAGGTAGCCAACTACCACCAGAAAACAAAGGAGGAATGGACAAGGTCTGGTTAACCCCCGTGCCAGAAACCATTACATGGGAATTCATACCAGCATTTTTTGTTGTTGTTGTTCATGAACCACAAAAGAAAACCAAAGAAATATTGGCAACGGGGAAAAAAACCAGACTATTGTCAAAATGCTTAAAAAAAAAAGTTAACCACAAAACATAATTCCTAGCGCTTTACATGGGAATTCATACCAGCTGTTTTTGTTGTTGTTGTTCATGAACCACAAAAGAAAACCAACGAAATATTTGCAATGGGGGAAAAAACCAGACTATTGTCAAAATGCTTAAAAGAAAAGTTAACCACAAAACATGATTCCTAGCGCTTTGTCGAGAAAAAGTGATTATATTGTCGATATACAGTGCTTATATATACAGTACCTGCATAGAGGGCATGTGAGGGCCAGTGTAAAGTTTTGCAAATTAGATATTGCTGAGCGCAGTCGAGTGGGGTATAATGACTGGAGCAAGCAAACACGATGTTTAGATGGCAAAGATGAAGATTGAGAAATAGCTATAAATGTCAGCAGATGTATGCATGTTTTGGAATTGACAGTTATACAGCATATGCTGAAAAAAACTCAAATGTATGTAATAATGAAAATTATTTAAATGTGCATTTGCTGGTCTAAAGTTAATTTTTTCTCAATGTCAAGCTATTTAAATAGAGAAAGTTCCATTTAATATTTCTTTTGTAAATAATGTTGACCATACATCTAACATGATAAAAAAAAGTTTTAAAGACAATATCGGACAGACGTGAGTACGTTTCAAAAGTAAACTGCTTTTAATTCAAGATAAGCATGTTCTAAAAATAGAGGAAAAAAACAGAAAAGATCAAACCCACTTGGATTATTAAAGACATAAAAGACAAAAATCACAGACAAATACCATAAATTTAAATTGGCTGAAATAGGTTGAAAAATTTACATAACAAAGAAGAGATAAGCATTTGGTAACAAATTAAATTACAAATCCACAAATGTTTATGACAAAAAGCCAGATGATACTGTTAAATCTAACAGCAAAGTTTTTCTAAGTATGTTAATGGTAAACAAACATTGGCTGCAGAACTGATGAGGCATTAGGGGCATATGCTCCCAACTTCTGACCCAGCAGTGAATTACCTCTTTGAATAGAGAATAAGGACTTGTGTACAACTATCAGGGACAATTGCTGTTTATCAAAATAAAATGTATCCAACTGTTAGTGCCCCCCCCTCCAAAGTTAAGATATTCCTTACACAAAAATATATTTTCGATAGTTACTTACTTCTATGCACACACAGCTATCCCTCACATGTCTGCCTTTCAGATTTTGTGCATTCCACTAGCCATGAGTTATCTTCCACTTAACTCTTTCAGCACGGGCTTGGTCCCTGGGACCAATCTCATAACCATTTTGTGCTTGTTATAGTTTTCATGCTATAACATTTAAATTAGTAATCGAATGTTAACAAAATTTGGCAAATTATCAGTAAACATTACAATGCTTTCATACGCAAAATATCAACTTTTTTATTGTCTTAAAGTTTGTAAAGCAATGTTTTTCTTATGTCTGTTTTTTCTTTTTGCATGTTGCCTATCTCTTTTGCAAAGTAATATTCATTGTAAAATAAAAAATATTTTGACTTCACAAACATCTAATTTGAACCAGTGCTGCATTCAACATACCATATGACACAGAAAAATCTATGTTTATCTGTGTTTTTTCAATATTTGCTTTTAAATTAACAAATTCAGTAATATATAGAACTAAAATTTTAATTATAATCTACAGTTTGATACCAAATTTATTGACATAAATTAATGAAACAGTAGTTCAATAAAATTTTGAATGCGAGTCAACAAACGAGATGATATGGCCTTTCACACGTGACCCATCTTGAAAGGGTTAAGGCACATGTTATAATGTGAATTCTGATAGTACAAGATGTAATCATCATTTAACAATAAGCTCTCCACCAATAGGAGAGCAACACATCCACCATGCACAGTAGATCCCCATAAGTACTTCCCTCAAAAGTAACTTTATTCTTAGATAAGGCAATAATAACTTGCACCAGTAGAGGGAAAGAAGGGTGAGAAGATGTGCAGAGAAGTATTTTTCAGAAATTCCTTTTCAGGAAAAGAAAATGATTACTTTCAAAACAATATGCTTACTCTCTACAAACAATAGCTAGAATCCTAATGAAACAATTGGATATTTATGAGAGAATTTTTACAATTATTTCAGTATTTTTAATAATGCTCAAGAGATAAAAGAGACGCTATAGAAATTTAAGTATTCTGAGTGTGATACACATACATGTAGAAATGCCATAAGTAAGGAAGCCTGTATTACGAAACTAGGTCAAGAACTAGGCGAAGCCAAGTTAACTGGTTAGTTAGTATTGAGAATCACAAGTTAAGAGTTATAAAAATGAAACTAAAGCAAAGACACTGAGAAAAATGCATTCATGAGTTTGACAGTGATAAGTGACTGATGCTGAGTTAATAGCACTGTAGAAGCTACTAAAAAGTTTATGATAGCATCTCAAATCGGTGTTTTGATGCGAGATCTGTTATTCCAGACCAGTGTAGTAATACAAGTAAAAAGGAAACATGAGCACTCACCATCACAGTAACCAATTACTTGAGAGTTTGAGTTCTTGTTTTGGATTAGCCCAGAAAGTTGCACAGATTGACCAATAAAGTGTTAGAACTACTCGCGGGTAGTTAGGAATACTATTTGGAAGGTCAAAAGAATACAAAGAAAATATGTTTTAAAAACTCATGTCTGGAGCTAAAAATCAGTAATCACCAGGAAGAGAGTGACCTCCAGAAAGGATTGAAGTTCCAAGTCACTGTGAACATGAAGATTTCCAATCTCCAGAAGTATACCAGTCCAACTCTGTTATAAGTATAGAATTGCTATCTCTCTTGTTCAATTAATGTAGTTTACTAAAGGAAGTTAATGCTTATATTAGCAAGAAATATTCTATATTGTATTGGTTATTAGTATTAACTGAAAAGTGAAAAGTAAAGTTGTGAGAAACTTAGTAAATGTTTAACTACTGCTCTTAACATTGTATACTATGTGGAAAGACCTAATAAATGTTGTTATATTTTGTTCAATGTTAGTCTTGGAATCCATTTCTTTATTCTAACTGTAAATTACCTCGAGTTACCTACAATCCTCAATTAAATAAATTTGGTGTTATCGACAGTATAATTGAAACTCCAACAATTAGCCCTAAGGGTGTTGCCCATGACACTAATTAGATATGGTGGATGAGCCAGGAAGTTGATGGAGAGTGACACCCTATAGTGGGAGCTTATTAAAGGGGTAACACTCATGAGAGACTACATACATCTCATGCACAGCATACTCTTTTCCACAGGTGGAAGTATGAAAGGAGTAAGACAAAATAAGTCATTGTGTCACAGGAATAGGTGGAAAAAGACATGAACAACCAAACATTTGTACACAAGATGTAGTGTAGCTATGATAATGATCAGACCGTACAGTACATATATGTTCTGTGGTATCATTTACTCACTTTATATAACAGGAATGGGGACAAAAGTCTCTTTCTTTTGTAACAAGAGAAAGAACACTTTGCCCCATCAGACTAGACAATCCACTAAGAAACTGACATATCATATAAGGGGTGGCATGCACTAATCTGACATGGACACCCCTGTCCTACTTCTCACTATACTGTGTTGCTAACTTGGACTCTCTCTGGAAGGAATGCACAATCTTTGAGGAACTCTTCAAAGTTGAATACCCTTATGATTAGGAATTTGGAGTGGCAAGGGTCTCCTATACTCCTCTTGAAGACAAGAGAGGTAAGGTTATTTGTATTAGGGAGACACCTGAGAGGTGCACCACAAACATCTTTTATTAGAGAAAGTTCAATGGTTACCATGAAACCTAATTTGAAAAGCCAGCATGTGCGAACCAGGGAAGTGGGCAGACAATCCTCCAGTGCTGACATTTTTCTTGTTAGTCCATAGATGTTGTGATCTCTGAATGAACAATGAAATATATATTACTTGATGTGGGTTTAAGGCAACACTGGGCATTGGGTGGGTTTCAAGAAGTGAATGGGAGAACAGCATAAATAGGTAAGAAAACAAAAGAAGCACTTACCCATTAACCCTTTCCCGCCTGCATGCTATGTAATGTTGCTATCATTATATTACGTTCCAAAAATACAACTAGTGGGTGAATTTAAACATGATAGTTCTTAAAAGTATGTAGTTTCAGGAAAAATAAAACATTTGATTTTGATTTTTTCTACTATTTCTAATAAACAATTCATTATTTAATGTAGTTATTTGCACTCACTCTCTAAATAGTTCACCTGCAAGGTGATTTTTATGTGAAGTATATAAATACAATTTATTATTCTACAGTTTTGACATTTCATTTGTATAATATCTAGAACCTCATAAATGAATATCAAAAGCTTTTTAAGGTAAATGTTTATATTTTATTTGCCTTTTCTCTACTATATCACTATTAAATCTAGCTATTATCATCAACATACAGTGTAATGCAAAGTTTGAAATTAACATATGCAAATATGTACATACCTTTCAGCTCTTCATAGAATTTCACTAAGAGTCTTCTTTGTCTCATGTGAGTACTTTCACGTCTTTATCTTTTCACTTGGTTTATTTTTAATTTTGATTTTCATTTTTCATCTTTTATTAGTTATACCAAAACACCTCATAATGGCACTTGGGCCTTTTTTGCAAATGTTCATGGGACACTTGTTAGCCCAAGGGCAAAATGTTTTGCACATGTCATATGTTGAGATTCAAGACAAATAACTAAACTTATAAATAACATTAAGCCTTTCAAATATGAATTTTATAACACTAATAACACATAGTTAACTAAAATATATAATTAAAACCTAAATGCAATTTAACTGTCTATCAAACTAAGGTGTAAAGCAATAGCCAATCACTGGAGACACTGATATCCACAATGGACACCAACAGAAATATGCTTTTCATTTCAAAAATAATCTATTACTTATGCATATATAGCATGGAGAGACTAACAGAAAATTCTGCTTTTTCTATTGGTTATAAGAATCCCATTCAATAACAGAAAAATGGTTACTTAGCAACAGATTTTTCTGTAATGTGAGCTGACATCTGGTAGAAGGGGGAGTGGGATAAAGTCATTTCCTAAGAATTCTAGCAGTTGAGAAACAAATCTAATTTGTGAAATTTGACCTTGTACATGTAGAACTTCGAGTAGACTATTATAGGGGTACAGAAAGAGAGAGCTATAATGATACATAAGCAAACAAACATACAGTCTTTCAACAATATGTGCATCATGTGACCTGAACAGTGAAGATTTAATTGTTTGTTTCAGAGGTTTCTTTTGCAACAAAGGAATAATAACTTGGGCAATATAACACTTTAATTATAACATATTTGATAATGCTAATTTCATTGAAATACATTGACAGTAAATTGGTTTAATTAAATTTTGAATGTAACTTGGTAACACTTTTTCCAGATGTGCAAAGGTTATTTAAATAGGGTAGTGGTTGTCATAGTGTTAAAGATGATTAGCAGATTGAAGAATGGCAACTTTAAGGAAGTGATATGCTAAAAAAAGAGAAAAAACAACACCAGATGGTGGAGGTAATGGGAGATAAAGGTGTTGGGCATAGTCCACATTTTAGCCTGGGTGATTTCATTCAAGGGTCATTGAAAGTATGTGGCAGAGAATGAGTCAGGTGGCTGAGACATGATACAGTCTGGAAGCCTCTACGTTCAAGGAAAAATTGACAATCCAGATGAGCTGATGAGACCATCTGGCAAGCATATAGAATGAGAAAGAAGAGGGGTCCCATGGCAAGAATAAATAATTGCAGGAACCAAGAAACAGAGCCATGTGTGCACTTGAACTGCCCAAACTAGACACAATCATAGAGGACCAAGACCAATGGAAGATATAAGGGAGAAAAGGTATGATATTCTGAGCCAATCAAGTCTTAGGAGAAAATGAGCAGTCAGGGAATAAAATCAAAAAGGATCTATGATCATGGGAGGCAACAAATGAATAAAGCTCAGATCCACAATGACTACAAGCAAAAAGAAGAAGGAAGTACACTTTAAGAGAGTAGTGGTATAAGGAACAAGTGGCCAAGAATTCAAATATGATCAGAGTAAGAGCATGTAGAATGACATCAAAGTTACAGTTGGGCAAAGGAGCAGGATGAGAGGAATGATGAATTAAAAAGGACAAAAGCAAAAAAGAAAAGACAGAATCATAGCAAAAAGGCAAAAGATAGTTAACATGGCTACTCAATAGCCTGCAATGATAGAAACCAACAATCCTTCATCAAACAACAAGGTAAAGAAAGCTATAAAATGGGAAATGGTAGAATGGCCTGGGGGTAGAAAGC